CAATATATAAGATGCATGCTATTACCCAAAGGTTAAACACATTACATAACAGTACATGTAATTATCCAATGGTTAAACAAGATTTTGACTTGTATCCCCCCCCCCCTAAAAAAAGTATGAAGAACACGAAAAAGAAGTGGGGTATGAAGCTCATCTTAGCTGATTTTTAAGATGTAGAAGAGGAAGAAGGAAATTTCCGAGCCTAGCCTTGAGTTCTTGGAGAGATTCTCGAAGATGGTGGTGATTCTAAGAGCTTAACACACAACAAAAGTGTGTAGACAAGAAATGGTCATCATAAAAATGCTTAGATTTAAAAATGTTACAAGAAGGTCTTACCAATTTTATAAACCTTTGAAGAAGACTCCTTTGAATAATGGGAGTCAAATTCTGGAGGAAAATGAGAGAAGTTTGAGTTTTTGAGAGGAAGAAGTAGGAGGATGTTCTTGTGACTTAGAGAGGGAAAATGAAAATGCGAAGTGTGTTGGAGGAGGTCGGTGGAGAGATAAGAGGGAGGGAAGGGGAATAGTTGAGTTTGAGCTTAGTTGATGGGATGCTTACCTTGATACATAGAGGTCCTTAGCTTAGATGTATGGGAGGTAATAAGGAGGTGGCAAAGTAAAAAGCCTTTTTTTTATTAAGCCATAACCGAACCCTAGGTTTCTCGGCCCTATAGGGTGGCCCAAAAATAGTGGGCTTTGATTTTTCGCTTGGCCCAATAGGTGTTTTTGGTCCATTAAAGCCCAAAGGTAGGAGTTTTCGGCCCAATAAGGCCTAAGGAAAGGTTTTTGGCCCCATTAAAAGCCCAATAGATGTTTTCGGCCCAATATAAAGCCCAATAGATGCTTTCGGCCCAATGAAGGAGTTATCGGCCCAACAAGGCCCAATGAAGAAGTCTTGGTCCAATAGGGGTTTTAGGCCGAGGGTTTTTGGGCTAAGGCCCAAAATTGGTTGAACTTAGCTATTGGATCGAGTTTTTGGGCTTATACGAGGTTGTTTCAAATTGAATCATAATGTATGGATGTTTGACTTAAATAACATTGTAGTTTGAATTTCACTAAATGGGATGTTGCAAGGTTACATGGAGGAAATTGTCTTGTACAAGGATCAAAATCTTAACCCTAATTTGCTAGTTGTGACATATTTAGGGTTTGTACACTATTTAAACACCATTATGGCCCCAAGACCTTTCCATTTATCAGCCTCCACCCCCAAGATCGACCCTCCTTGAAAACCCTAGTTCATTTTGAGCATTTTGAGATTTTGAGTGAGTTGTGTGCTTCCTTGTGTGTGAAGAAGGACCTTCAAGGTGTAGGCTTTGCTCTCAAGACTTTGGATACAACATCTCCTCTTCATTGTGCACCATTTAGAGGTATAAAGCTCCAAACTTGGTTTATGTTTCTTTAGATCTTATTTAAGCCTTGATTTTCTCCCTTTTTTCCCAAAACCAAGAGCTTAGTGAGTAAGAGGTACTCCAAAGCATTTAAGGTATCCTTTCAAGCGTTTTAAGGCCTTATAATTCATAAAAATGCAAGCTTGGATCTTGATTTATCCCCATGCAAAAGTTATGGTGAAGAAGTGGGTTTGAGTAAGCTAGGTTGTTAGTGTTGGGATTCTTGTATCAATTCAATGGGATAAACTTTGCAACTTTATGGCCTTAGTGTTGGATTAGTGTCTAAGCCCGTAACCATATTTGGTAAGTACTTGACCCGGTTGTGCATGGTCCTTTTGGGTTGCCTTCACCAAAGCAACTTGACTGGAGAAATTAAATAGAGAGAGAGGTTATTGTGATTTATTAATATGTTATAAGAATAATATATTAAAGGGAAATCATATTTATTTAATTAATATTGGTCAATAATTAATTAGGAATTAATTTTGTGATCAAGTGTAATTAATTAAACTAGAGGGGTTGAATTGTAATTATAAGATAGTTGCAAGATAGGGCAATATTTATCCTTGTTAAAGGATGAACGAATTTAAGGATAAGGATATCCTTAAAATCGTCCAAGGATAAGAGGATAAGGGTTTTTCAAGGCTTATCTTGTGGTTGCTTGGTGGGCAAGTAACTGGATAAGGATAAGGACTTAAACCCTAATCTAAACCCTATATAAAGACCCCTAGGCCTTGAGAATTCGTGTACATGCTCCTAAGAGGTCCCAAGGAAGAATTCCAACTCCTTCATCCTCTATCTTAAGCCTCTCCAATTGCTTGTGGTGTTTGTGAGCCATTAGAGGCACTACACTTGTGGTGCTTGCTTTCAAGACTTAGGATTTGAAGATTTAAGTTGTTATTGCAATATAACAACAAGAGGTATGTAAACCAACCTTTGTATGTTAATTTCGAAAATAGCAATGCACATTAGGGTTTTATTCTTGTGTTCATAATGTTGTGTATCTAATAGTGAAAACATAGATCCAAACTAGGGTTGCATGCACACTTAGGATTGTTTGTATAAAACCCATCACTTAGGGGTATAAAGCTCCAAACTTGGTTTATGTTTCTTTAGATATTAGTTAAGCCTTGATTTTCTCCCTTTTTTCCCAAAACCAAGAGCTTAATGAGTAAGAGGTACTCCAAAGCATTTAAGGTATCTTTCCAAACGTTTTAAGGCCTTATAATTCATCAAAATGCAAGCTTGGATCTTGATTTATCCCCATGCAAAAGTTATGATGAAGAAGAGGGTTTAAGTAAGCTAGGTTGTTAGTGTTGGGCTTCTTGTAGCCATGTAATGGGATAAAGTTTGCAACTTTATGGCCTTAGGGGTCTTATTAAGCTCAGATCTAATTTTGGTCGTAAGGTCTTAAGGCATTAAGACCTTTTATTGAGTTTTGCCTTTGGGGTGCGTACGTTGGGCGTAACTCCTAGTACGTCATGCATATTGTACCTCAATCACAACCATTTCCTGCTTCAGCCGAGTACACTGTGTGTACCAGTTGGTACGCTGGGTGTACGGCCCAGTCCATCTTGCGTGATTTTTGAGCTTTTAATCTTTTGGAATTGCTTGTTGGGTTGGATCATAGATTCTCATGGTAATGGATCACTTCTGATTCTAGGCCCATATTGGACTTTGGATGATTTTTGGGGTTAGGCCTAGGATTTTATTGGGCTTAAAGGAAAAGGATAACTTGACCCTTTTTACCTTGAGCATTAGACAAGTAATGTAGTTTTTTTTAGCTTTGGGTTATGTCCCAATTATTAATTGGGGTTCTGTTTGTTTAGTTAGCACGAGGATTTCTCCAGTCCAGCAGGTCGAGCGTTTATCTAGTTTTTTCAGCAGTTTGGGTGAGTTTCCTTCCTAGGTCCATGGGTTGAAGGTACCAATATCAGCCCATTATTTTTTGTGTAGAATGTTGGATGCTTTATGATAATTATATGGAAGACTAGGATCTGGCCCATGGCATTTGTATGCAAGACCGAGATTTGGCCCTTGGCACTAAACGGAAAGACCATGGTTTTTCCGATGGTAGGAAATGATTATATGACTATGATTTGGTCCATAATATTAACTTCTTTCATGTGTGGTATGTGATACTCGGGGGAACTCATTAAGCTTTATGCTTATAGTTTATGTTTATGGTTTTAGGTACATCCGGTTCCAAAGGAAAGGGACCGATGTGATGGAACAACATCCTCCCCTCACGATTTCCGCATTTGATATATCTGTACTTTGATGTTTTGGATATTATGATTTAATGTTAATTATGAACAACTTATTGGATGATTTGATAAGCTTTTAAAAGAAAATTTTTACTGTTGATTTTTGGGACGTTACAAGTTGGTATCAGAGCCTTGGTTTGAGGGATTTAGGCATACTTTTCGGGTGTTTCTGAAATCAAACTGAGGAAATGATAGTTTCTTAATAAAAGTGGAGTTAAACTTTTAAAAAGATTATTATTAAGACTAGGGGGTACAATACGTGCAATCAACCGAGCTTAAGTAAGTGGTTATCCAAATTACCCATACATATGTATTATGAGTAGTATGCTTGATATGAGAATTGCATGCTAGATTAGGGCTAAGGATACCTTCAGGAATCATATGATAGAATTGTCTGATTTGTGTGATGCCTTATAGCCTAGCACAACTTGATGTTATGTATTACTTGGAATTAATATCGGACCAGTTATTTTCTATGTGTATGCTTTTAAACTTGTATACGAATAGAATTATATAGCCCTAGAATGATCAATTTGACCTCATTTCGTGTTCTTTGTTTGGCTGTGGACTTAAGGTAGAATCATCTTATGATAGCCTATGTAATCCTATTTTGTATATAACTTGCATGCATAAAGCAATCAACTGTGTTGATTGAGGTTCTTGATATTGCGAGTGGTGAGGCTTGGGAATTCCTAGTAGAATCCAGGATATGTATGATGTATAGCATATGATTGGTTTATCTTACACAATGGAATTTCTTTGTTTTATATTTGATGAAACAACTTATGTTTTTTTTTGGTATTCATATACAAAACATATTTATAGATGAGTAAATTACATGAATGGTCCCTATAGTTTGAGGTAATTTATATGTTTGGTTCCTACCTTATTTGTTTAACTCGGAATGTCTTTATTCTTTGTTTTAATTGCGTGTTTGGTCTTTGTCTAGCTTAAAATGTATGTTATGCTATTATGTAGCATGAACATTGGAATTGTACCAACAATGTAACATGAATTGCTAGGAAACATGTTGTCCATTTATTGTTTAGCTATAAATTGATTCAATTTCTTTGTTTATCTGATAGGTTGATGATTTAATTTCTTTAATATACTATTCTACAAATAGTTATCAGGATCTTGGTTAACAAACAAAAGCACATCAATCCTAATTATGGGATATTTGATTAAAACCGGGTGATTGGCCTTAATTGAAAGGTCACCTTGTTAATTATGGCCAAAATTGTTAGCAACTTTTTTTTAAGATCAACCGGAAAAACTTCCTAAATAATTAACCTAACAGAACGACGTAGTTTCATACTTGGCTCCCTCCTTAAGCCAAGTTAATGGTTTCATACACGGCTCTCTCGGTAAGCCAATTTATAGCCAGGGTGACATTGCGGCAATATAACAACGGTTGCCGGCGAAAGAGATCTCCAAGAAAATCACACAGATTCTCGATCATCATTAGATTGGTAATTCCAAAATCATCCTTAGAGAACTTGCAATAAATTGAGTCGGAGTTCAATTGAATTTCTTGCAAGGTCTCCAGTTTACCTAATCTTCCATGACTTTCGATTTCCCTTAACCCTATGCAATAATAATGTCAGACGATGAGAAAAACACCCTGGTTAACTCACCAACTAGCTCCCGGTCGGTGACGGAGACGGTTAACGGCTCTCACCGGTTCGTAATCCAAGGTTATTCGTTATCTAAGGGCATAGGAATCGGTAAGTACATCGCCAGTGATGATTTCACGGTGGGAGGGTTCCGGTGGTCTATATACTTCTACCCTGATGGGAAGAACCAGGAAGACAATTCGACTTATGTGTCGGTTTTCATTGCTCTTGCGAGTGAGGGCACCGATGTAAGGGCGTTGTTTGAGTTGACTCTGGTAGATCAGAGTGGGAAAGGAAAGCACAAAGTTCATAGCCATTTTGATCGGTCTCTCGAGAGTGGTCCATATACATTGAAATACCGAGGCAGTATGTGGTAGGTTTTGAAATCAAGCTTACTAATCTATTTGTTTTAACTTTTAACTAAAATCCACGTTACCATTTTGGGTGACAGGGGATACAAGCGTTTTTACAGGCGACAAATGCTAGAAACTTCAGATTATCTGAAAGACGACTGCTTGAAAATCAATTGTACTGTAGGAGTGGTTGTTTCTGCTGTAGACTGTTCTAGGTTGCATTCAATTCAGGTCCCAGAATCTGATATTGGATCACATTTTGGTATGCTACTGGATAACACAGAAGCTGCAGATGTTGTCTTTAATGTTGCTGGAGAAAAGTTTCATGCTCATAAATTGGTATTGGCTGCTCGATCCCCTGTTTTTCACTCTCAATTCTTTGGACCAGAGGGAGTTGACCTTGACCATGACCATGAGATTGTTGTTGCTGATACTGAACCCAAGGTCTTTAAGGTAATTGCACCATTGGTACCATTTTATCAAACATAAGATACATATATATAACATATGGTTGAAAAGTCGAACCCTGAAATGATTTTGACATGCAAGAAACAGGCTTTGCTTCATTTCATTTACAGAGATACAGTTATGGAAGATGATTCTCCATGTGAATCCTCCACCTCCAGTTGTATATCTGATACATTAACAGCAAAGTTATTAAGTGCTGCTGATACGTATGATTTGAGTAGACTTAGAAGCATCTGCGAATCTCATCTCTGCAAACATATCTCTGTTAACTCTCTTGGAAGAGCTCTTGCACTTGCACACAAATATCATGCCATTCAACTCAAAGCTGTTTGCCTTAGATTTGCTTCTCAAAACCTTGCAGGTATTCTGTCATCTGTCATCTGTCATCTGTTATCTGTCAACTGTCAAGTGTCAGTTGAGGACTCTTATTTTTTATGTTTGAAATACAGCTGTGATGCGATCAGATGGATTTGAGTATTTGAAAGAAGAGTGTCCAAAGTTACAGTCTGAGATTTTGAAAATGGTGGCGGGGTGTGAAGATGAGTGTAGCAGTGGTGGTGGTGCAAAGTCAAGGAGTGTTTGTAGTCAACTTTCTGATGGTGGAGATGCAAATGGGAAGAGGGTTAGGCAAAGAACTTGATTGTGGTTTTGGTCAAAAAAAAAATTAACTTTGTTTTTCATGTACAATATTTCTGTAACTATGATGAACATGTTATAATACAGAGAATTATATGAATTGCTAAAATGTAAAATATTCTCAAATTGATTAAAAATGAGTTGTTATTGAATAAGTATTCAACTAAGATCACATAATGAGGTACCAAATTCCCAATTACATTATGCATAATCATTTGTAAAACCCTTATTGTGTAAATGATGAAAAAGATTTGGTCCATAAACTGAAAATGTAAGTATATTGCTTTGTTAGTAAAATAATATATTTTCTAAAACAAGAATTTATTTAGAATATGCTTGTTGTTGTGTAATGAATGTTAAAAGTTTAGAACCTAATAAACTATATTAGGAATTGGAATTCATGAAATGGATGTCTATTTTTCATATATGAAAATAGTCATCATTTGTTACAAAATGACCTAAATGAACAATGTCATTATCCCTGACATTGTGGAATTAGATAAGGTGACAAACTAAGATGCTATTTTTTTAACGAATGGACTTAATGGAGACAAATCTTAATTTGGTAATCTGAATGTTGTTTTTGACTTAATACATAAAGACCGACTTTCCTTAAATACTCTTCAAACATCATTTATCCAGACAATATTCTCAAAACAACACTTGGATTGAGTGTTTGTGATTGCTTATTTATTACAAAATTAAACATTTTTTTTCACAAAATGTTTATTATCTTATAGAGAACCAAAAAAGGGTTTAGAAAGAAAAAAAAAATATTGGGATTTAACTTATGTAGTACCAAAACATAATAATCTTATAAGTTGGTTTTTCATGTTTCACAAATTATGAGTATATACAGAAAATACCAAGAACGTGGACAAAATGATAATTGATAAATTGGTATTTGAGTCGCCTTTTATGGTAATGAAAAGGGAAAAACAAGGCTAAGTTCCACATGAAGTTTAAGGTTATAAAAAGGTAAATTGTTTTCCATGTGTAATTAACATTTTTCATTTTATTCCATCCACACTCAAAAGTGCTTATTAGCATTACTAAATCAAAATAAGCTATTTAATAAGAAAAAGAAAAAGAAGAAAAAAAAGGTGTCTTAATCAACATGAGGTCAACACACATGAACTAAACATATATGAAGAGAAACAAACACAAAATTTCATCGGGTATCACTATCAACAAGCAATTCTGATAACAGAAAAGGATAACAAATCATAAAGTCCCCACAACAAAGAAACTAATGCATTCAGATAGTTACAACAACACAATTTAAACCAAATATTTTCACCTAAAACTTGTCATTAACCAAAGTTCCACAATATCAAAAGCCAACAAAGACTACATCTTTAACCACATATACGAAACTAACATAAAAGATTATAATAAAATCAGAAATTTGTCAAGAAATCATTACATGCCTCTTTCACAATCACTATACAAGTTCATCACGAGCATCCAAAAGAGAGCTCATTTGCAACATCCTGCCATTACCAGGTAAACAAGGATCTGTAACAGATTCAATTTCAAGAAATTGAAAATCATAAGCACCCGATTGCTTCAAACTGATACCAAAAACAATCAAAATCCATCCCAACATAGAAACAGCCCAATAATTATTCATTCCATGGATCAAACCCCAAGCAATCGAGTACCCGATAATAATCCCAGAAAAATGCCCTAAAAAGCTTGCTTGTGGAACAATGATTGATGTAAATATAAGCGATTCAAAAGGGGCAAAACTAATGGGAAGTGAAAGAAACCCAAAAAGATTCAATTTTGAAGAAGGTTGCCTCACTGAAAGAATCGTCATCCATCCAAAAACAACACAAGAATACCCAACAGCAGTAACTCTTCTGAAATACTCAAATTTGAATCGATTGATAAGAACATGGTAGCTTCCCAAAACTAGCAAACCAGATAACACTACCAAAACAATCGAGTAATGAAGATAATAACCCACTCCTAAACCCATATGCCCTAATTGCTCAACAACTCCAAGGCTCCAAAGTGCACTCATATTGAAAACAAGATGAAGAACACTTATATGCGAAAATGCAGAGGTTATGATCCTCCAATGGTGACCTTCGACAGCCGTTTCATAACTCAAACCCACATGAGAATACCCGATGTTCTTCTTGTGTATGTAGAACCAAACTAAAGTGCATAATCCTATTATACAACTAGTGGCGGGTTTTTCAAGGATCTCGTAGAACAATGGTTTCCCCATTTAGAAAATAAGGGAAAGAAAGTTTACCACCATTTATTGATCAAGTAGAGATCTAGGGTTTACCTTGGAAAGGGATGATTTTGCTATAGTGTTGTTGTTGTTTGTAATTGTAATTGTAGATCTTCAAGAAAATTGTTCGCGGCAGATCGATAACCCCGTTGATTCACTCAATCTTACTCAGAGCAGAGGTCGGTCGTCTATTCAATATAGAGGTGACTGGTGAGATGTTTCTTTGGGCAATCAGAAAAATATCGTTACACATTTATTGTTATTGGTGCACACTGGATCCTTCACATCCCTCGTTTACAATGCTTACCTTTTTCTATAAATTTTCACAAATGTTCCTTATAGTTTTAAAATTGTTTTTAAAACGGACTTTATAATTTTTTTTTTTTTTTTTTTGCATTAATGGTCTTTTTTGACAAAACTTAGCAAATAGCTGGTCCTTTTTTATGAAAATTTCGCATACGAATGACCCTTATAACTAACTATCAACTAACTTCGTTAAAATTTGTTTTTAAACTCCCATATATAATTACATTTTTACCCTTATTTCAAAAGATATTCCTTCTTGTTTTATCTTTTATGTTAATTAATATTAAATAAAGTAGCCACCAACCATACGCCTCCTTCCCCCACCTCATCATTAAGCACGTCTCTCTCTCTCTCTCTCTCTCTCTCTCTCTCTCTCTCTCTCTCTCTCTCTCTCTCTCTCTCTCTCAATTATAATACTCAGTTTCAGGTATGAATTTTATGTTTTAATATGGTGAGTTTTTTGGTAGCCATGATGTGGTGATAACGGATCCACGATGTGGCAAAGTAGCATGAATTGCGGATTTCATTAAGCCACCATGATGTAGTCATGTAGTAGCCACGACATGGTGACAGCAAGGTTCAAAACTCTAGACTTCGAGCCTTGAGTCATATTTAAAGGATGTGATGGCTAGGTTTTGTCTACCATTAGTCTTCATCACTCCTCTATGTACATAAGATCAAACTCTAGCCACCTTTCAAGCTTTTGAACTCATTTTGGTGATTTTGTGACCATTGAGCGAAGAAGAAGAAGAAGATTTCTAGTGCAATGATCCATCAAGCAACTCATCTCCACATTTGTAATCATCTTTTGGACCATTGTAAGTCTTCAAGACTTAATCTTTATGGTTTATTTCTAATAGATCTTGGAAAATTAGCATATTAAGGTCTATTTTGGAAGTTTGAATGATTGGGAGTGACTCACCAAGGCCCTTAGAGCATTTTATCTTATGGATCTAGAAGTTAACAGTGTTTTGAAAGCCATGCATGAGATTTATGTCATTTTCTTACCTTTTTACCTAATTTGAGTGAAGGACGTGAATGTGTCATGCATACCCATAAAGTTTGGATTTTATGAACCTTTAGGGTCCTAAGAAGCCTTCTGGAACGTTTGGGAAAAGGACTTAACAGATTTAGAGCTTAATAAATTAAGTTGTCTTCAGCTAGGAACCACGGTATGGCATTGTAACAGCTAAAAAATACAACAATTTTAAACTTTTCAAAACAACTCATAATCATAAAATATCTACAAAATCATTGTTTCCAAAGTGTTTATTAATATCAGAGTATCCCAAAATCATAAGGCCATAAAACAGCAGGATGTGTACGTTCACGCCTTCGCCTTTCCGTGATCATCATAAGTACTAGAAACAATAAAGTAAATTGTAAGCCAAAGCTTAGTGAGTACCACCACATAAACATAACAAACAACAACATGCATAAATAATCCTTCAACTTGAATAAACTGCTTCGCAGGGCCTACAGCCTATCTAGACCACTCTTCGAGCCTTTGACATGACTAGACCGCCACGCAGGGCCTACAACCTAACTGGACCACTCTCTGGGCCTTCGGCCTGACTAGACCGCCTCGTAGGGCCTATAGTCTATCTGGACCCCCTACCCCCGGGTATCTTAGCCTTCAGCACAAAGCAGGACCGCTTCAACCCAATCAAACATAACATGTCGACATATACATAACATATAATCATATAACCAGTCAACAAGCAAACAGACAGATCTACAGATCACTACCGTATACTAATATCTTATATACCAGGATACCGATCTAACAGGTCTCTATAGCATAATAACATACTATCATATAACAGAATATCCAATCTAATGGGTCGGTCTTGGTGCCTTCGACCCATAAGTACAGTGAGGAAGACTCAACTCTCAATCTGAATAATAGTTGATGAGGTCTCGACTCCGAATCTCAACACTAACCGTCACCTATCCATCCAAATGACCAATTCTCAAGCACAATCCAAAATACCCAAATTACCCTTAAGTCAAACTTGGTTAACCTTGGTAAAAGTCAAAGTCAACACCTAGCCGATTCAACCCAACCAAGCCAACCCGACCGAGTCGACTCAGCCGAGTACGTTGGGCATACTCTTTTGTACGTGGGGCATGCTCGATGGTTGACCAGCTTACGGGGTGTTGATCGTGTACGCACAGTGTACCACTTGGTACGCCCAGCGTACACACCAATTCAGCCCTTTCCCCATTAAGAACTTAATACTCCAAATCTTCACGTCCAAAGTCAGATCCAAAGCCAAAATACCCTCAAGAATCATAAAGTTTCCAACTTTATGACTTTGCATGTCCATTAAGTGCTTAAAATACAAAATCACAACATATTAAGCATTAACACCTTCTATAGCATGCATGGAGTGAAACTAACCCCCAATACGACATTTTTATGACTCAAGACACCTCATAAGGTCTGAAAGGAAGAATTATTGGGTCAAGAACATGTCATTCTTAAGTGAACTTTATACCTCCCGGAGGTTGCTAACAAGAAGGAAAACTCATATCCAAGATACTTCCCATCTCCAAGCTCTTCTTGCCACATTCTTCTTCTTCAAGAACACCTCCAAAACACTCCAATGGGCTCAAAAAGCACTCTTCTCGCTTAGGTTTACCTTGGGTTCATTTTTCACAGAGTGAGGCTGATGAAGAGATGAAACATGAGGCTATAAT